GCGAAATAAAATTTAACATACAAGAGCTTGATCCTTCGGAAGAATCACGAGTTACGATTCAAGCAAATTATTACACAATTGTCAACCGCGCAAACCAATTGAAAATGTCAAAACAATCTATCTCACATGGTTGTGAAGCTACCAGAAATGAGTTTGCCAAACTTTGACGGCGCATCGGAGTCGTGGGCTTCGTTTTTCGATATATTTTCATCGGTAATCGATCAAAACGAAGATCTCACACCAGGCCAGAAGCTCCAATATTTGCGATCTACACTGCGAGGAAGAGCCAGCTGCATCGAAGCTCTCCCGACAAAGTGCAAATTCGACAAGTGCGCTTCTAAAGTGCAAATTCGATAAGGCGAGGAAAACCAACTGCAGTGCCATCCTGGAAATGCCGAAACAGACCTCGTGGACACTATCAAGCAACATCTGAGGGTCTTGAAGAATCTTGGTGAACCCATTACAACGTAGAATTCATTGTTGTTCACCACCATTCTATCGAAGATCACTCCTAATACAGTCTGGCAGTGGGAACTTACTCTGAAGGACAAGAAAATGCCCATCTACACGGAGCTCCTGGACTTTCTGGAGAAGCAAACTGCAGCGTAGAGATAACACATGAAACAATGTGGATCCGACAAAACGCGGCCTTCGCGACAAGATGCATTCGTAACCAAAAAACAACTGCAGTGCCCGGTCTGCGAGGGCACGCACGGAGTCTGGGCATGCCAAAGGTTCAGAGAAAAGGAAGTCTCTGAGCGCGTCACCTTCGTCCAAGGGGCACCAATTTGCAGTAACTGCCTGCGCAACGGTCACACAATCGAGCAATGTCAATCAGGTTCATGCCGAGTTTGCCACCGACGTCACACGTTGCTACACATGTCCGGAGAAACAATAGAAATCAAAACCCAACCAGTCCAAGAGTGAGGGCGCTGCGAAATGATCGAAGGCACCGATGGGAAAACAGAGGAAAGTATTCGTTGCTAATACTATCACGTTCGAGCTGTTAATGACCGCAAGAGTCAATGTGTTAAACAAACACTTCCAAGCGGTCTGTTGTCGAACCTTCCCTTGCTAGACATGTGCAACAACAAACTTCATTTCTGAGGGCTTCGCGAAACAGCTACGAAATGTCACATCCCTACTGGCGGCCAATTATGAATAGCAATTATTCACGGACACTCACATTTTTAATAGTTCCTAACATTTCGTCATTCATACCCGAGCAGCTGATCAATCGATCAAAAATCAAAATACCAAGGAACACTAAACTAGCCGACCCAACTTTCCATCGACCTGCGCCAATCGAGATGCTTCTAGGTGCCGGGACAGCGATCTCTGTATTCTGCCTCGGACAGATTAACCTGTCTCCTCCCAACGGTCCAGACCTCTATTATTTTGTAAAAAAATCAAGTTCGGATGGGTCATCGGGGGGAGTGTACCGACCATCAGTGCGACTCACGCAACCATGTGCCACTCCATAACCGCTCTACAAACCGACTTTATTCGCTTCTGGGAAATCGAGGAAGAGTCGCAGATACATAGACTATCCGACGTGGCGTGTGAAGAACACCGTCACACCCATACGATACGCAATTTCGAAGGAAGGTACGTCGTCGCGCTGCCGTTCAACAACAAGAAACAGCAGCTCGGCAAATCTAGAGCATAAGACGAAAAGAGGCTGCTTTCCTTCGAAATAAAGCTACAAAAAGATCCTGACTTAAAACAGCAATCTCATGCTGTCTTGCAGGAATACTTAGATCTCGGACATTTATCCGAAACCAAACCACAACCATCAAAACAGGAATGTAATAAAAAGTTCCATTTACCCAACCAAATTAAGGGCCGTTTTCGATAAGTCAGCTCCAGAGTATCACTCAATTAAGCACGGAACCAAAGCTCCAAGACCTACTACACATTCTTCTCCAATATCGCACCCATCAGTCTTTACTGGCGACATCGAGAAGGAAACCTAATGGCCAACTTGGACGACAACACCCCCAGAACATGTTCCAGAGCAGAAAGTAGCTATTTGTTTGGTCATGACATCCATCGACGCAACTGTCATCAAAGAATATTCAACTGTCATCGTGGGGGAAACTTGTTCGTGCTATTGCCTGCTGTCATCGATAAAAGCATCGCAATCAGGGACCTCTAACAGCGATTGAACTTCAACACGCACGCAACTCCACCATCAGAATGATTCAGCGTTTGTCCTTTCAAGACGAAATAGCCTCTCTTTCGCAAAATCCAAATGCTCCACTTAAGAGCAAACTACAAAAAATGAATCCGTTCCTCGATAAAGACGGTTTGTTACGGATCGGAGAGAGGTTGAAACATTCTGTTCTGCCATTTTCACAACGACACAGAATCATTTTGCCTAAATCAGACGTAACCGATGCGGATGATTGTTCCGATTCATCGCAGATTACATCTGTATACTCTTCCGGATTTTAACGGATTCACAATTTATACAATTATTAATTAAACTGTTGAAAAAGCATAGAACGAGAAGTGTATAATGGTAGCATGTTAAAAGCTTGACAGTAAGTACTCTTCTCAATCGTTTTAAATGTTCTTTATTTTTAATAAAAAAACGGTGCCTCTACGCGAACATTTCGTATCAGGCATAGACGCTGTTCGCACTGAGAGAGTAGTTTCCCTTAAATACCTATAGGCGCTGTTCGCAGTTAAAGAATTAAACAGCAATTTTGAATAATGTATCGAACAATGTATTGACCATTTTGATCCATTACTTTTTGTCATGTTTCCGGCAGCTTCATAATTTCGTACTCAAAAAAGTCTTCTAGCAAAAAACTGATTCAGGTACCATTTGATATCGTTATTGAATGAAAGATTTTTCTTCTTAAAGAATTCTGAAGAGAGCGAAACAAGTGAAAGTCAGATGGTACAAGGTCTGGTAAATAAAAAGGATATGATAATATATCCCTAGCTGCAACAATTTCTAACGATATATAGCAAAGACAGCAAACTTTTTTCCCGTGGCAAACCGCACTCATCGTCAGTCTGCTGATTCCCCCCCATGAAAATTAATTCCCGTTCTATTCATTCTGTCCTGTCGCAGTGGGCCATGCAAACTACTTTCCCTATCCTCCGATAGCATAGTATGCTGCGATATTTTGTCAAGTAATAATTATATATTGAATAGATTTTATGATTTCATTTTTTATTATAGAAAACGTATTTTCATATTTATATATTTATATATAGATCCAAAATAATCGTAAACTCAAATCTAGTAATTTCGGATAATTTTCTGAAGAGATCAAGAGTTTAAAAAATTCTAATCGACTGTCACGTCCCGGCTGCAAGAAAAACTGCGTGCAATAGCTATCACCAAGCCGGATTGAGTGACGTTGTGCAACCTTTTAGTTTAAACGGCACGTACGTTCGGTTCTAGCCGGTGTTCTCTAGTTAGTGCGATTAGGTTTGTTAAGATTGGAGTTGTGCCTCTGCGTATATTATATTCGTCTTTTCTGTTACAGTAATCACGGAGGTAGTTTTGATCTATATTCGTATATTCGTGTTGGAATTCAATTACGATATTGTTAATGGTTGCGGGACCTGTGAACACTTTACCATGTTTCCTTGAAATTAGATACGCTTTCTTAGGCGTCCACTCTTCGTTTTCGATTAATGGTACGATAATGTAGTATACAACGCAATTAGAATAAACAAGTATTGAGACTTTACGGAGACCTTCTCGCGGACGGAAGGTGCTGGTCCCTTCCCTCCGCCGCGGGAAACGGTGGAACCGTCCGCCGAATCGAGTGATGCCCTGGTCTCCCCTTTCGAGCGTGCCGAGGTGCTCCGTCGACTCAGAAGGATGAAGAACTCATCCCCTGGGCCCGATGGGGTTATCTACGAGGACCTCAAGAGGGCTGACCCGGATGCTGCGGTCTTAACCGCCTTATATAACGCCATGTTTCCGCCTGGGGCATATTCCTCGCGGATGGAAGCAGAGTCTGATCGTGCTTTTGTACAAGAAAGACTCTCGCGAAGATCTGAGTAACTAGCGGCCCATTGCGATGGGCGACGTCGTCGTGAAGCTGTTCGCCGCTGTGCTGGCCGATTACCTGATGCGCTAACCGACCGTCAACAATCGTTTGTGCGCGGCCCAGAAGGGCTTTTTACAGCATGAAAGGTGCCTTGAGCACTCCTTCATGCTGCATCGAGCGAGAGAGAGCCCGTGACCTGAAGAAACAAGTGGTGGTCGCGTGGTTGGACCTGGTCGACGCGTTCTCCGCTTCGTTCCCCACGCGGTCATCAAGCATAGATGCCAAAGTGCCCGCAAGGGTCGTTGAAACCGTGGAGAGCCTCTATGAAGGCGGTCTGCGTGCGCACTCAGGAAGGATACACCGACCCTATTCCCATGCTGTCGGGAATGAGGCAGGGCTGCCCCTTGAGCCCAATACTGTTCAATTTGGTAATCGACCCGTTGATTCGAGCGGCCACGGAATCGGGAGCCGGATTGGACGTGTTCGGCCAGAGAGTCACAGCCCTTGCCTACGCGGACGACATCGCGCTTGTCGCAGCGACCCCTGACGGCATGCAACAATTCCTCTCGTCGCGCTGCCGTTAGGACTCACCTTTAACCCCCGCAAATGCGCTACGCTGCACATCGGGGCGAGAGGTGAGCCGATCCCAACGGCCTTTTGCCTAGCGGGAGAACATTTGCCTGTACTTGAGCAAGGGGAGTATGTCACACAACACGAAGGTGCCGTGTGAAAAATATTCCCAACGAACATCTTCCCAATTTTATTACGGTCCGGTATTCCGAGAAGTGCTGAACTGCAACAGTAATAACCTTGTGAAGTCTACGAAGGACAACTTTTAATAGAAATAAAATGCTCGCAGCATCACTTGGACAATAGTGATATATAGCATCCACCATAAATAGTACCGTAATTAAGTTTTTATCGATCATAAATTGTACCGTAATAAGGCTTACTACCTTGCAATTTAGAATCAAGGTCTCCTCGGAAGGTGTATCCGATTTATCTGATAGGGAAAGTCGGGTTCAATGAGCAAGCTTGAACAAAGTACTCTTCGAGATGTAAAAGCACTCGCTCTACAGTTATTTTCTAACAGTTCTTCCTCAGTATTCTTGCCTGTCAGTCCGATTCCGTCACAGTGAACGTGAATAAGTCTCGTCAGAATCAAATCTCGTGACTTAGTCAATCGCGCATATTAGTCGATCACGAAAACTACGTCGAAGTCCAAGAAAATACAGCCCCAACTATCCTTACCAACGTAACTGTCCGTAAGGAAAACGGACCGAACGGAGACGATCTTCGTATCCGCAAATCCACATCGTGACAAATTCAAAGCTCGATAAAAGGGAGGATTAGTTAGTCACACAAAGCTCAAAAAGGCAGTCATACATTAAAGTTAGAGTTTAGTCATACAGAGTTCAGTAAAGGAATCACACTTTGTAATCATTAGGGTTCAGTTACAAATAGTTACACAAAGTCAAATCAAAGTTAGTTCAACTTAGTTCAGATCAATCATTTGTTCAAAATTCTTGACCAAGCAAGAATTGCATAGGGGCCACCAGGCTTAATACTCAATTCAAATTCAAGTGCATCAAAACTAATTTCATTTTCATTCCCACAACAATAGGTGGGCCTTCGCGCTCAAGGTACATACGCAAAAGTGCATGAACGATATCAGCTATGATTGATCTTAATATATATATATATATATATATATATATATATAT